ATACTGCTATTATTGGTCTTTTTATATAAATATAAATATATATATATATAATTTGAATTTTTGGAAACTTTAACTGTGCTGTCAACTTTGGGAAAAGTTATCCCAATTTACTGTGTTGAGTTGGCATTGTACAGAAATGGACAGCCATATTAGTCTAGAAATGTTAATTTATTTTATTTTTTATTTTTTCCATTTGTACAGGGGTAATGTACTGTATTAGATATGTAAGGTCATATCTACATGTGTTTGATTACAGAAGGTAATATTCTCTAAATAATGAAAAAAAAGAATAAGATACAACTACAAGAGCAAGAAGCAATTTAAATGTGTTCAGGGACCATTTTCATCTTCAGAATTAAGGATTATTTTAATCTTACAGCATTGTCTTTTCTTTTTTACTTTCCTTTTTAGTTTTATTTTAGGATTCCCTATTTTTAATGTTCATACAGAGATTTCTTTAACTGAAACACCGAATAGTTTCTCTGGTGTGAAAAACTATAATAGTACATAGGGTCCTAATGAGATAATAATGTGAAATATGAAGTAAAAGGCTAAAGGTGTAGGGAAAGCTGGAAGGGTAGGGGAAAGGTAATAAGGGAGAGGAAAAAAATATGAGAAACTGAAAAAAATGGAAATAAAGTGTTTGTAAATGGGGAGGGGAGGAGGGGGTGAAGGGAGGGCAGGGACAAGGGGAAAATATGAGAATCAAGACCTGTCATGTAAAGGTACAGGATCCCAATAATGAATGTAACTGTACTGTATACCTGGATTGTACCAATAAACTCAATGAGGAAATAAAGTGTGTATAAACACTACCTAAGCCTCGATGTATTACCTAGTGAAATTACCTTCTAGCTATGTGTTCAAATGAATTTTTTGTCCAGATATGGTATTCATTCCCAAGATATTATGTATATGCAGGTATTCTAAAATTTAGAAAAAAATCCGCAATCAGACATGCTTCTGGTTCTAAGCATTTCACATAAAGGATACTCAGTCTGTTTTTGTCTTCTATATTCTTCATCAGGTTTTTTAATTTCTTTTCCTTTTACTGCCTTTTTAAAGGTCAGTATTTAAAAAGTCACCTTTTATATACTTTATTAGCAATAACTTTTTTTGTTTCAGAGTTAATAGTGTGCATCTTTAACTTATAACAATTTTATAGAATAATGGCTTCAACGGGCAAGAGTAGTGATGCTGGCAATTTGGATATGCCAGATCAGAAGCTGTAAAATGTTGTTTGTGTAGAATTCAGTACTCTTCACAGTTTCAGACATCCACTGAGCCTTGAAAATATCTTTTGTGAATAAGGAGGGACTACTGTTTAACCTCTACAGTTTAGGGCTTGTTTTTGTTTTGGTGATGTGTCTAAAACTCAGCACAGGGTCATTAAATACTTATTGTTTTGGTTGAAGTGAGACACAGAAGTAAGATAAAATTTCTGATTCCCATAATGCTTTACAGCACAGGGTGCTTGATGGATGTAGTTATGTTTTTGCAGTCTAGCTTGGAAAAGCTAGATTATTTAAGAGAAGAATATTTGGGGCTACAAATGTAGAAAAGTAGTAGACCAATTGCCTACCAAGCACAAAACCCTGGGTTCACTCCCTAATACTACTTAAAAAAAAAAAGGAAAAGAATAATTGGTTAGGTGTATGAATTAATTTCCACCATCAGCACCTTTTTCTTAGCAGCTAATAACAGTAACAAATACTTTTAATGGAGAAAGTAGATGAACATATGTGGTAGAAGATACCATTTATTAAGCACTTACTATATGCTAACAGTTGTTTTTCATTAAGTTAGCATGGTGTAATAGGATTTTTTAGCTAGGGTAAATGATAAGTCTCAAACACAGGCTTTTAAACATTGCACTTACTTCACTTACATAGTAGGAAGTTAGTGAGATTTTAAAGAAAGTAAGTAGATTTACAATTGGTCTCCAAGGTTGCACTCCCTCGGAATAGCAACATAGCATTTTTAAATATCTTTGTCTTCGTTACTTTGCACAATTCTTGGCACATAGTAGCTACTTACAGTTGAAGAAAATGATGAAATAACCTTGCAGACACAAAAGGCGGTTTAACTGTGTATCTCATGTTGAATATTCTGATAAAAATAGTTTAAGTGTGTATTTAATACCTCCTTTTGTGGAGGAATGTGCAGATTTGTTTTGTCATAAAAATATATGAGAACTCTGTATTGTGCCTAACACATCTTAGGGCTCTATGAATGTCTTTTCCTAATTTCATAAAATTGAACAGCAGTAGTCTTTTGAGAGAAAATAATGTCGTTTTAGATTGTTTGAGGATGAATTAGGGAAGAAATGTAACCATCTGATAATCATCATTTTAACCCAATCAACCATATATCTGGCTTATTTGTGGGTGGTTACTAAGCTCTCAAAGTTGAATAAATATATTGAATATTTAATGAAAAATATCCTAGGTTACAATTTGTCTTTTCAAATCTTGTTTTTCTAGCACCTAAACTAAAAAAGATAAACATTGCTGGTGTATAAAAGCTAACAAATTATGTTTAACCTAATAGGCTTTCAAATTTTGGATTATAACTTTTATACCATAGCTGACATATTTCACATCTCTGCATGGCTTACTTGAAAAATAGAAGCAGTTGATTAACTGGATGACTACCAGAATGGTCAACACAGATTGATGGGCTGGAGTGCAGTAGACAGTGGGTATGCAGATGGTAGCGTCTGTACCATTTGACAGGAGATGGCTGAGTCTCTAAAATGATTTCAGTGGAATGGCCTTGGTGTTGTTGCGATAAAGGGCACCCATTCAACCTCAGGTACTGTACAGATGGCAGAGCCAAGCTAATATAGAAAAATGAGAAACAAGTGACTATTTAATGTACAGGAATGCATGACCTGCATCACAAATAAATGATGGTATTACATGCAGAAAACCGAGCCAGATGGCCGTACATTAAAGCACATGACTCCTTGAGAGAATTAAGTACAGGCAATTTGGTCAGATTATTTCCTGCAGGCCTGCTACATATTATATTAGGGTAGGGAAAATGAGAGATTACTTTTTGAGAGTGTACATCGTAGGTGAAGTTGGCAGTTAAATAACCATAATCTGATCTCCCTAAGTATTTAAATTGTCTGTGTAAGGAGCAGTGGATGGCTTTAAAATAAAAGGATGTAAGAAATAAGATTGTCTATTGAGTCTGTGGCAAATAGAGTTCTTTTTTGGCCCGCACTTCTCCATTTTACAAAATTTTCTACTAGGCAAAAGCTTAAAGTAACTTTTTGTTTGTTTTTAAGACCAGTAAAATTAATGTATTTTTTTATCTATAGAGGTTTTTATAAATGAATGCCAGTGACTTCAGGAAATTTTGAAGTGAAAGAAGTTAATGTGTTGAATGTTGTATGAAATGGGACCATTTTCACTAGTAAAATGTTACATTTTTGTTTTTCAGCTTAAAGAAAGTGGTTATTGTACAGGTCATGAACCAGATTCCCTGGAATTCAGCACTGTGGGAGGATGGATATCAACTCGGGCATCAGGCATGAAGAAGAACATCTATGGCAATATTGAGGATCTGGTGAATTTTTTTTCTGGTTGTTACATAAAAACTGTTAGTGTGTAGAGATTATTATAAAGAGGCTGAAGCCTTTAAGAACTAGGAGTTGGATGGGCTGGGTATTTAGCTCAGTGGTGCCACCACCTGCCTCACAAGCGCAAGGTCCTGGGTTTGATTCCTGGAACTAAAAAACAAAACAAAACAAAAAATACCAGGTGTTGGAGCTAGGAGTGGTGTTCAGTGGTAGAGACTTACCTAGCATGTGTGAGACCCTAGGTTCACCACAGATCACCACAAGAGCAAAACAAAACAAAGACATTTTAAGAGCTGGACAGTAGATTGCCCCGAAGTATACCCTTTTGGTTATAGTAATGTTGAATATGTATAGTAGAAGCAATTAAAAGACAACCACGTTCATTGTGGATGCTCTTTTTCAAGTGACTAATATTTAGCTTTGTAGCTATTTCATAGCATCCAGGTTTTGAAATATACAAATAATATCTTGTCTTGTGGAAGCTCAGTCTTCAGTTCTCCCAAGATGTTAGTTAATTTGTTTGATTGTTTCTTTTGAGACAGGGTCTTCCTCTGTAATGCAGCTGGCCTTAAACTCACTATGTACCCCAGGCTGGCCTTGAATTTGCAGCAGTTGTCCTGCCTTAGCCTCAGGAGCGCTGGAATTACAAGCATGTGTCACCATGCCTGGCCTATATTTTTTTAGGTGATCTCAGTGTTGCTACTCAACATTACTTTAGGATTTTTTTTACATTTTTCTGAAAACAATTTTTTTCTATATAGAATTAGCCTGAAATTGTTCTGTTAAGCAGTGATGTTACCTGACATGTTTAATGTATATACCATTTTGTTCTCCTTAACTGAAGAATGAAGGACCTTCAGTGAAAACTCATCTGGGTCTCTGGTATATAGTAGGTCCTTCGTAAATGTTAGTTTCCTTATTGTCAGCATTTTGATAATAGTTTTTCTAAAATCTTGTTATGTCCCTAACTTTATTCCTGGCCCTATTTGGCTTTGTTTTTGAAATCTAAAGTTTTGATATTTTCTTTATTTTTTCTGTTGATAGGAATAGCAAATCTTTAGTGTAATTAATGCCTAGTAATTTAAGACTTTTGTCTATATTGTGAACTTTTTATAAATGTTTGCATTATTTTTGCCCACCCACCTGCCTACTTTCCTTCTTCTCTTTCCTCTGTCCCACCCTCCCTTCTTCCCTACTTTCTTTTTTCTTTTTGTGGGGCTGTGGATAGAACACAGGGTCTCACTTGCTTGGCAAGCACTCTACTACTGAGCTACCCTTCCATGTCTTTATTTTCTTTCTTTCTTTCTTTTTTTTTGGTTTTTTTGAGACAGTGTCTCACTATGTAGTTGAGACTGACCTGGAACTCACTATGTAGCCCAGGCTGGTCTTGAACTCAAAGCGATCCTCCTGCCTCAGCCTCCTGAGTGCTGGGATTACAGGCATGCACCACCACACCCGACTGTCTTTATTTTCTTTTATTGAAGACATTTGAAAATTATATTTTTATTTTTGCAATTAAAATAACCTAAATTTATTTGCATGGGACAAAATTTGATCTTTTTGCTATTGAGTTGTTATTACTATATTGGAATAAGACAAATATTTGATAAATAACTACATTTAAGAACTGCTGAAGCATGCCATTTATTTTGGGAGATATTTAAGGACCATAGACTATAAATATACATTCTAATGTACTTATTTGCACTAGTAATTACCAACTTAAATCAAGAGGTGGATAATAATTTTAGGCAGGTTTTCCCTCTTCTAAGGTTATATACAACTTTACCTTGAAGAATTACTAAAAGATATTAGAATTCTGAATTCATCACAATTTGTAATTTAGCCCAGTATTTTAAAAATAGCATCTTATGTAAATATGTGCGTGTACACACACACACACACTGATACCTGGAATTTATTTCTTGTATTGTATTAAACAGGTGGTTCATATGAAGGTGGTAACACCTAGAGGTGTGATAGAAAAAAGTTGTCAAGGACCTCGGATGTCAGTAGGCCCTGATATCCATCACTTCATCATGGGATCTGAAGGTAAATATGAGAAAAAAGTACGGGCTAGTGACACAGTTTTGTGAAGAACTGTTTCTGTAAAAGATCTTTGTAAGAGGACAAATGATTTTTTAAAAACAGTTTTATTTTAATTAGTACTTAAAATTTTTAGTGCAAGAATATCTTTTTAAATTTCCTCTTATATGTTGCTTTTTTACAGAAGCAAAGTAGTCTTGTTTTCATTTCACTTTTCTTTGAGAGTTTTTAATGAATTTTAGGAAAGGTAGTTAAGGTTTGAAATGGTTTGTTTTAATATTGCGTATTGGAGATTCTCTAATTGCTTCAATTATCAGAGGAAAGAACTGATAAAGCATTATCTTACTGTATTTTTTTATATCATGTTATTTATTATTTCATTTTTAGAAGAACTGAAATTTCGGCTGATTCACATACATATGTTTTAGGCTTCTTTTGGTCATCTAATTTTTACTTTGCAAGTAGTGGCCTTTCTTGGTTACTTAATGTTGGTAGATTAGAACGTACTTCTTCATCTGACTCCAAACATGGAATTCCTGCACAGATTAGAAGAAAATTTACCACTTTCCTACTGTTTGGTAAACTGTTAGTTCTGCATGGTGAATTTTACAGATAAGTAAAGATGGACTCATATTTTTGCTCTTAGAATGCTTTAAGTTCAGAGAAATAAGATAAATTAAGGCAGGAAAGTGTTCCCGAGTTAGCAGAGGAACTCATTAAAACTTTCTAAGCCAAAAAAGATTGTGGAAACATTTAGCAATATTCAGGAATAAAAGCAGTTATGATGAACTAAGATGATGAAAAGTGTTGGTGATATGATATCACTGAGATATAATAGGCTGAAGACCAGTAGTATAGCTTAGATCTTTTGTCTGATATCAGTGATAGATCTTTGTCAAGATATCTCACCAGCTTATTGTTTATTCCTTTTCTGCTCAGCATATTCTTCTAACATGTTTAGTAAGAAAAATAAAGTATTCTTTTAAAATAATGTTCTTTAATAAATATTTTCTGAAACTTACTGTATTAATGCATCATTTAAAAGAATGTCCATCGGATGTCAAATTAAATAATAAATAGGTTATTAAAACTAATCTTTTTTTTTTTGTGTGTGGTACCAGGGATCGAACCCAGGACCTTGCATTTGCAAGGCAGGCACGGTGCCACTGAGCTAAATCCCCAGCCTCAAAATTAATACTTTTTTTGTTTTGTTTTTTTGTATATATCTGTAATCCCAGTACCTTAGGATGCTGAGGCTGGAGGATCACAATCTTGAGCCCTACCTGGACAACTTAGTGACTTAGCCCAGTCTCAAAACACTTAAAATTTTTAAAAATAAAAGGGCTGGACTTGTAGCTCAGTGTAAAAGCCCTGCATTCAATATACAGCACTACGCACAAACACACACAAATTTGAACCTTTATCTAGAGGACCCGGCTACCACACTCAATAGTTAATTATTTTATGGATTTAAGAAATATAGTTTATGGAAAATAGTCTAGGCTAAATTCTATAGTTAAGTAAGGTATTAATGCAAATAGCATGTTGATTTAAGAGCATGAACCATGAAGTCAATCAGATCTGGGTTTAAATACTGATTCACACATTTATATTTCTGTGACTGTGTGAGCTAGGTAAATCTCTATGTCCAATGTCTTCAGCTCTAAAATGGAAACAATTAAATGTCCATCTTCATAAACTTGTGAGGAATAAATGAGATTATGCTAAGCAATTTATAAACAAATGATAGCTTCTATAAAATGTTAACTTTATTACTTTTAGTCTGGCTGTTTATTTTGGCATTAGTGGTTGTTACAGTTAATGGTTTCTAATCACTGTTTCTGCTTGCATGTGAATAGTTATTTTACTATAGGCTGAGAGCATTATCGAAAAAGTAAATTTATGTGAAATAATCTTTTGTAAAAGTTTATTTTTTTTCTCAGTACCAGGGATTGAATTCAGGACCTTGCGCTTGCCAGGCAGGTGCCACTGAGCTATATCCTTAGCCCAGTAAAATGTATTTTTATGTTTTGAGCTATTTAATAACCTCATGCCTTAAATATAATCATAAACCTTTTCTCAAACTTAAAAAAATTATTTTTGCGATAGTGAAATTATTTGATAACATTGAAATACTTGTTTTCACCATCCTAAATTGTACACGTGACTACATGAAGTTTAATATGTTTATTTTATGTTATGAATTTTTTCATCTTTTTTTCAATAAACAGCTTTTACCCACTTCAGATCTATAAGATCAATTTAATGAAAATTGTGATATTTGGTTTTGTTTTGTTTTTTGGTACTGGGGATAGAAGTCGGGACCTGGTACTTGCGAGGCAGGCAGTGGAACCACTGAGCTAAATCCCCGGCCCCAATTTAATGAAAATTGTACTGAAATTGAAATCACTTGAAATGCTTTGCAGTCTTTTCCCATGTGAAGAATTCATTAATAACTTATGATTTGCTCTTTTATTTGAATAAAGGGAACATTTTTATTTTTTAACCTGTGATCTACCTTTGTTTCAGGTTTTGCTCTCCAGTTAAAATAGATGAAATAATTTTACAAGTCATATTTTGATTAAATAAAGACTATCCTTTGGTAGATTCCTCAGGAAAGGCACATTTGACTATTCCCTGATTTCTAAATTGTTTTTCTGTGGCTTTGATACTTTAAAGAAAGTTTGAGTGAATATATCTTTGAATTTTCTTGAAAATGCCGCTCCACTGTTATACTGGTTTTACATATTATTCTATAGAAATGATACCAGTCTTACTCTCTTGACTTTGTAGTTCGTTTTCTCTTTTCATCTGGAGGCTCTGGGGATTTTTTTCTTTTATCATTAAAGACTAAGCTTTTAGAACTTGGAGTTTATTGTCCTGGATTGTTTTGTTTTGTTATGTATAGAACTATTACTATGTGTAGATTGGAACTTTTATTTCTAAAAAATTGTTTTGTGTTGTTGTAAAGTTAAATATTTTAAAAATATTTTTATTTAAAAATTTCATTTTCTGTTGATTTTTCTTTAGAGACACCCACTATACATATGTTTGACTTCCTTGCATGTTCATTTTTCTCTAACTTCTTTTATTTACATTTTCTTGCTTTTTTTTAAATAAGTTTTCAATTGAATCTATTCTCTGTTTGGGGTACCTTATAATTTTTTTCCCCCTGTACTGGGAATTGAACTCAGAACTTTGCGCTTGCCAGGCAGGCATGGTGCCACTGAGCTACATCCCTGCAGGTTACCTTATAATTTAACCATCATTTTTTATATGCTTTTTAAAAATCGCTGTTACTCTGTCTCTTTCCTGAGTTGCTCATTTCTTGTTTCATAACTTCTCCTTCTTCCCTCCTATTCCTCCTTCTCCTCCTTTTCCCTCCTTCCCTCCTGTTTCCCTCTCTCTCTTCTTCTGTTCTTCTCTGCCTCCTTCTCTCTTCTTCATCTTGGTCTTCAGGTCTATTTATGTTTTTAATTTTTGTGTTTGTGATTCAAAGTATGTTTTCATATCCCCAGTTGCTTGTTTGGCAATATTTAATTCATTTTGAATGTTATGTTGCAGTTTTCCTCAAGATCGTGGTTGGTTTGGGATGAGTGGCTTCATAAATGCTTTATTTGTATTTTGGGACTTTTTTGCAGTAGGTTTTTTTTTTTAATGGTTTTGGTCTGTTTTTGTTTTTGTTTTTTTTCTGTTCTTATTTCTTGGCAAGGGTTTCTAGTTTGAGAGTATTTGTTTCTACACTTTGCCTTCTATGCTGTTTGTTTTATGAAGGGTGGGTGTTTTGTTTGGGGAAGAGATGGCATGTCTTCCTTTTAGTAATTTTCCTTTTATTTTATTCTTTCTCTTTACTACCTTGTCTCCAAAACTTCTCTTTATAGCTGAGGCTGGGGACTACCCAAGTCTTATCCCTCATGTTAGCATTATTGGTGCATGTTGCTTTCTAGGGATAACTTTGTCTGTGTTTTCTCCAAGTCCTCAACTATTTCTTGTGCCGTCTTCTAAGCCTCCTTTTTTGACTTTCCACCCTTGAAGTCTGTGACAGTGGAAGGCTGCAGGAGTTCTGTTGAAAGTTAGAGGTAATTTGAAGGTTGTACTTTTTTGGGGTCTTCCAGTAATACTGAAACAATAGGTCCTATATGGCTCTGTTTTCTTTCTGGATTTTTTTCACGGGTTTTCTGTGTGTGTGGGGGGGGTAGATGGGGAAGTAGAGGAGAGAGAAAATTCTAAGTCACATGATTGCCATTCTTAACTATGAAGTCATCTGAGAGTGTTTTATTAGATTAGAAAAAGTTTTATTTGCTTTTTACATTTGTATTTTACATCAGATAGCAATGAAACCTTCAGTTTATATTTGAAAATTATAGAACAAAAAATTTTGAAATTGATTTCAGCATGCATTTTAAAAACACTGAAAGAAAAATGTTATATGTGAATCTGTAATGTCACATTCCTATGGAGTTACTTTAAACATTTATATAATAAATTGGATATAAAATACTGACAAAATGCATCTAATGAAGTAACAAATTATCTAAATAGTCTTATATCACTCTACTGATAAAATATTTTCAGAACACAATAATTAATAAATTCATTAAGATCCCACAGAAATAAGCCTGTTGATGAAATGAATTTGGATATACCCATTTGAGATTGTCTTAATTTGAACGTAAGTCTGTATGGAAGCTGTCCCTATCAGACTATGTGTGGAGCCCAAATAGATCTTGATCTTTCAATTAGACCATGTAGAACTTTTAGATGACTAATTGCAGAGATCACTTTGGTCATCTTATTAACCTTGTGGTAATGCAGAGTCTTATTTTATACTTCTTAATTTTTTTTTTTT